GCCTAACCTATCGGGGCCTTATGTGGTTCGCCACTCCAAATTCCGGGGCTTAGGTTGCCTATTTCAACCACTGAACAGCAGGTCCTCGTGACTATGGGGTTTACCCCGTCTGCTAATCATCACACCTAGGTGTGAAATTTTAAAAAGAAATCTTCATCCTTACGCTTCACTCTCCGTGTGTCAGGCGATTCAGCATCCGAAGCTCGCAGTGTTTCTGGTGTCGGCATTACGCCGAGTGTCATGGCCGGGTCTCCATTTCTTCACCGGATCCCAGTTAACAGCCAACTTTGTGCCGTACGTCTGGATGGTTCAGTACGAATCAAGAGCTACAGAAGGAAGTGTCGATGCTCATTCGTCATATCCGCGACTGACTGCAGTTCGCCAGAAATAAAAGATGAATTCTACAAGGACCTCTCTCAACTGCTCTAAAGTGTTCGGTCAACGGACATCGTGGTAGTCGCTGGAGACTTCAATGCTCACGTAGGATCGCTGGACGAATCAAAAAGGCTACTTGGTGGTTCGCATTGAATCCTAGCTAACCGGACTGACAACGGAAAACGCCTACTTTAACTTTGCGCTGAACACCGGCTGCTTCTATCAAACGCCAGCTTCACGCACAAGAAACGACACCGCCTTACATGGAGACCACCAACCTCTTCAGTGTTGGACTCAGATCGACCATATCACCATCAGCCACTGCTGGCGAGGATCCATTGAAGACTGCCGCCCCTATTGGTCAACACTCGTAGACACTGACCATGCTCGGTTACGAGCGAGATTATTCCTACGCCTAGTAAACAACCGCAGAAAAGCCACTGAAGGCAGATGCCCGTAATACACTGTCAGCAATGGCTGCAAACCGGCCTTCGAAGCGGAACTATCTGATTGCCTCTTAGCTCGACCATCGTCTGTAAGTCTCAGTGAACACTGGACGGCAATTAAGGAAGCGATCCATATGTCAATCAAAACAATGGCGGATTCCGGCTCACGATCAATTCAAAAACGATGGATCTCTACGACCTCGGTTGCATTGCTCGACGCTTGCAAAGCTATTCCTGTGGATTTAAAATACGACAAAGCGCGAAAATCCCTGAAATGCCAACTCATCAAGAGTCCGCTAGAAGTGACGGATAGGGAAGTGGAAAAAATGGAGAAGGCTGCGGCTATCGGTATTAGTTGCTATCTGTTTCGTCCAATTAGGAAGTGGGCGTAAGTGAGGTAATCAAGCAGTCTGACTGTACACTGATTCATATTCAATACTGCCGTATTGATCGACGGGCAGAACATCTCAATTTCTCTGCATCATTAGTCCGCTGAACTTTTTCAATTTTCTCTTCGGTCCTCCTTTTAATCTTTCCTGTCCTTCTCCTATTGTTCATCCAAATGGGCACCCGAAATACAGCAACCAAAACCGATGCACGATAGCGCATGGTTAATGGTTGTACAAACTGAACTGAACTAAGAAAATGTTCACGCGCAGCTCAGCTGGACCCGTTGACACAAGACCTCTATACACCTCGTTTATCTGTGCAAACACTGCCAGTTAACATGAGTCCTCCATCTAAAAAGGAGCTCACTCGTGAAGTAAATTATCTCAAAAGGTATACGGCTTCCGTCCCCGACGGGCCATCCACATCTGCTTTTAAGAATGGAGGTTCCGTCTTGGCTTCGGATTTAACAAGACTTCTGGACTCAATATGGGAGAGTGAAGAGGTTCCCACCGAATGGTGTGAATCGGTGATCATACCGATTTACAAGAAAGGCGACAGATCTTTTTGTGAAAACCACAGATCCTCATCATCATCATCATCATAATGGTACAATGAAATACAGTGAAGCAAACGTCATTGATCGCTGCCAGAATGGCAAGCACACAAAGTTAGTGGTAAAATTTAAGCTGGATAAGGACTGGACCTACTTTCACGGGCAGGGAAAATGAACCATTATGACCAACACACAGAATACACAATCGAACTTTGCATACATTCCGTTTCAAGCATTCTGATCTGATAAGAAATGACAACAAGAACACCACTGCTGTCGGTTCGCTGCCATATTCTTCAATGTCTCTAACCAACCGGTTATGGAGTCTTTCGGACCCCAACCTGGAAGGCGCGAGACACCTACTGTATCGGACTGTCGTCCAGTGGTTCAGTGACTCGTAGATACGAACCCCAAGTCCGATTCCAGATAAAGGGAAGTCGGTAATCTACGTGTACTATAAGCAGACAAATATGTGCAAAAACAAACACCATACCTCAAATTATGGGCCAATCCGGTCTCCACGGTACAAGAACAAGATACAAAGCGGGTCAAGGCGCAGAACAAAGCACCTACGGATCGGTCACCAAAAAGAATGCAAACTCGGCTTAGAAAAGGGACAATTTAAGGGATAGAAACAACGATCGAAAGTGCTCGATAATGAAGCGCAGTCATTGGTCAATGCAAGGCACACAAACGGTTCACGGGATCCTATGAAACAAAGCAGTCCGCTAAGCAATTGAAGCGATTGATCAAAAATGAAGGTCAACATAAAGAGGACGGGATGACAATGTATTAGAACCAAACGGCTTTGGGGGAACGGATCTAGGGTAGTTCGTATGTAATGACGCATGAGAATGGCAAGCGTGGAACAGCAAGAGTTTAAGGACGATAAGGTTAGATGACGCACAAATGAGTGGGACGAGAACCGCTTAGAGATGGCACGTGAACAATAACAAAAAAGTAC